ATAAGAGCACTTTTGCTCCGTACTCGACATCTAGATACCTACAAAGTTCATATATCTAGCGATCTGTCCTTCACCCATCAAATGAAACCAACTAACCACTTCCTGCAATCGCATATAAGGTTACCTACATCGTAAGCTATCATCAGCATCCTTTACGCTCAAATCACTTGTCTTAAACCGTTAATACGATCGAAACTATACTATGACTCTACTATCTATGACAACAACCCAGTTAATATAAATAATTCTCTTGAATTGGTCGAGAACTGTGTTGCCATGTTCATTCTTTCTGATTATTGCTACAGGTTGAATGTAACCACCCAAAATTCGAGCTATGCTTCCCTTTACTTTTGTTCTCGCCGCAAGAATGCTCGTACAGTCTTATGTTTAAGTTTTTTACATTCTCTGCCTTCAGAAAACGAAAATAATCATTGCTTCACATCGTTCCTCTTGCCACTCGCAACGTAATGTTTTGTATCAGCTAGATGCGCACACCACAACCTATCAATATTATTTTTATGCATACTGCAGGAAAATGGAATGCCCTTTCTTCACATATTGCCCTCATCACCGATGTTCCTCAATCCAAAAGTACCGTTGAACACCATTATTTGCTGTCATAAAAACTAGTCTGACTCACAGTTTTTTGTTCGCCCACTCGTCATGTATTGTTCCATGTGCGATATTTTGGAAAATATGAAAAAATAAAATGGAAAAAGGACGCTTTTCTTTCATTCAGAATTTCGGCTGTGTGTTATGCCAACTATATCTGGAGTGAGAGCTGTGAACATGCTGACCAGCTCTCAAAAATTACCTCGTCCCTGCGGCTACGTAGGCGAGCGCCTCTAACGGCCGCTCTTTGCAAACCTATAGCTCTCACAGTTGCCTCCGAGTAGCTGCCGAGGTACTTTCACGTGACCGAGTGTACAAAGGTGAGCGATGCCATACGGCAGCCGGTCTCAACATGCGGCAGGATTAATGGCCTCCGAGAATGCGCGCTGGCAGCAGGTTCCCAAAGAAAAAGAGAGTGACCGTTCCTGGCATAGTTTATTTAGAAGGCGTTGGTTACGCACAGGTCTGGTGAATTTTTAGCAAAAGGTTTGCCTAGTAATTAAGTGGACGTGCTTGCAAAATTGAAGATATTTAAAATGAGGTAAAACAGAAATGAGGTAAAACAGAAATGAGAGAAATGAGGTAAAAACAGTGTAATTAAAAACTTCCGCGCTTGTGTGCCGTCTGCGGCAGAGTCCCGACAAAAGCTGGAAAAGCGACCTTTGTAGAGCCTTTTTCAAAACTACTTCGGGTAGCTTTAGAAAGCTCACTGGCAGGGTCCCACCACACCATAAAACAGAACATTGGTGTTGTAAGCAGGCATTCACTGTGCCATCCTTCGCCCTTTTTCGGAGAAGCGTGGCACGCGCTACAAACTTGCAAGGTATTTTTTGAAAAGTTTTATGGTTTGGCTGAAGACGAACGCGGCAACCAGAAGGATACGCTGCTAGTGGTACCACCATTTATGACTAATTTGTTTGTTTGTTTATTTGTTTGTAGCGTATAATTTATGGCTCATACCCACACTGGAGGATTTGCCTAGAGAACATATAGTCTCCCATGGATGATAACTGCACCATTTCTTACAAAGAAAAGAAAGAGAAAGTTCTAGGATGAAGACAGTATACTGAAAAAGAAAACGGAGATTCAGAGAGCGCGAAAAAAATTAACAACAAAATAGACACTAATAACTATACCTTGATTTTAGGAGCTGACCAGACAGCTGGTTATGCCGAACCCGATTAATATGGTATGTCGCCGATTTAACCGCGTTTCAAAAATTACTTCTTGACCCGCTATTTTTTGAATATTTGAATAAGGTGGGCTTTATGTTGGAAAACTTTTAGAGCCTTGAATGAAATTGCACACCACATCGAATGCACTGCGGCGATTTCCCAAAACAGAGGCACCAAAATTTAGAACATTTTCTGTAGTTGAATTTAAACTTAGCTCTTTGTCCCGCATCTTCATTTTTGCATCCTCCTTAGGGCCCACCACGCTTTCCTCATGAGCCATATCATATACATAGTGGCGGCTCTCAATTGGCACCAAAACGGAAAGGGATAAATTGGACACGCTCATGCGCAAAAGTGTCAAAAAGGTGCTCGGCGTCCCAATCACGACTAGCACAGAAAAACTCATGAAGTTGGGAGTGCACAACACCACTTAGGAATTAATTGAAGCGCAAAGGTCAGCACAAATAATTCGATTATCGAGTTTCAAAACAGGAAGAAAACTGCTCGATGCGGCAGGCCTCCGTCGTGTCTTCAATCAGGGAGAAACTACGCAGCTTGATTATCAAACAAGGAATTCCTTTATTGTTGACCCTCTTCCACGAAACATCCATCCCCAACACAATAAAGGTCGTAGGTTGGCGAGGGCTAGGGCTTTCATAAAGAACCTCTCCGGAACAGAGACATTTGTGGACGCGGCGCGCCGCGCCGGCGGCAGCAAGTTTTCCGTGGCAGTAGTCAATGACAGGGGAGAACTTGTCTCGGCAGCTTCAGTGAAGACCTCCTTGGTCGATGTAGCAGAACAGGCTGCTGTAGCGCTGGCATTACTGGACACGAAACGCACCACGGTGTACTCCGATTCCCGAGAGGCCGTTAGGGCGTTCGCATCGGGATTGATAGCCACAGAGGCAGCCAGAATTCTCCACAGCAAACTCCCCTCAGACGTTATTCATCACATAGTCTGGCTTCCCGCTCACATGGGACCAGACGTACTGCCGGGTCACCTGAACCGAAACGAGATAGCCCACGACTGTGCGCGAGGTTTCACAAGCCGCGACGGGGTGGTCTCTCGGGTGAGTTCGGGAGAGCTCGTCCACAGTGATCCTCTCGTTACTTTTCACGAGATAACATCTCATTACAGAGGAGAGCGACAGACTTTTCTCTTTCCCCATCATAAGCTCCACAGATCACAAGCAAGCACGCTCCGCATGCTCCAGACGGGGTCTTACCCCTCTAGGGGCTTTCTGAGCATGCTTCATCCGGATATTGATCCACTTTGCCCAGATTGTGGTGAATTTTGATCTTTGAGTCACAAGCTCTGGCAGTGCCCTGCGTTACAGGATTTTAAAACAGAAGAAGACTGGACGACGGCAATCACAGACCCCAGACAAGACGTCCAGCTTCAGGCTGTCCAGAGGGCCCGTGAACGAGCGGAGAGGCATGGCCTCTCTGTTCCGACATGGGACTAGCCAACGGCTGGGTGGGGACCTACATAGTTGGCCCGCTGCCTTGCCTCTCAGGACCAAATAAAGTTGTTTGTCCTGTCCTGTCATTTTTGCTAATAATTTATATATTCTGGTTTATCAAATTCTTCTGCTCTTCTCCCCTTTTTGATTTTTCAAAGAACGATATCATTGTTCTTATCTAATTTTTCTCTTTTTTAGGAAGCGTTGTTTGAATATGTTACATTATTAGGTACAGGGCAGCCATTCCCCCTTGTGGGTATGAGCCAAGATCTTCTAGGCGCCAAGACAAGACAAGTCATTTTAATGGTCTGATGACCCCTCGTTATAGAAATCGCAGTGTGATGCCTAGTTCTTCTTTCGCTGTACCAAAATTATCTATTATTTCTTGGTTCTTTTCCCAACGTGAAGTCTGCCTGGTGTCAGTTTGCAACGGAGTTTTAAGCAGCAGCTCGGCTCAGACAAACATTGGCGTACTTTTTTTTAAAGTACAGACTCGCTGGTCTACTCTCATAATTTCAGTAAAATCTAGCCATGGGAGCGCCATAAGCTCTGTAAGGCAGTTATCAAAATTGAGAACAAGTTGATGTGTTCCTTGATGGTTAGAAAGGGTAGAATCCCTGCTTACTATGAAGAAGGTTTAGGGCGTGATGTGCTTTAGCCGTGCTTGACGCCCGTAGTAGCGTTTTTTTTTGTCATGTTGTGTATTGTAATAATCTTGTCTTTTTGTGTGTGACGTTAAACCAGAAATTAAAAGAAATCACAGCATATTCACGGAGTCAATGATGAGTGGGGCGAAGCGTCCATCTGTCTATCCCTTCGTCCGTTTACTTGTCCTCTGTCTGTCTGTCTGTCTGTCTGTCTGTCTGTCTGTCTGTCTGTCTGTCCCATCCTGTGTATTTCTGTCTCTCAGTAAGTCTGTCCATCCGTCTGTCGGTTTATCTGTTTGCCTCTCTGTGCGTCCGTGTGCCCATCTATCTGCTAGTGCATCCATCCATCCGTCCTATTGCACATAAATCTACTGGACCAATGCCATCTAGGAAATGAGACAAGAAATGGTGATGAGAAAGCGTTATCTATTACACTGCTCGGAAGATACAGCTGGCTACGCCTGACGCAGGACAAGGCTAGACTGAGTGGACCTTCGCCCCTTAAAACGACATGACTAAGTGGTAGAATAGTGGGCTGGGTGCAGGAATTGTGGGTTGGAATATTTTTAGGAGCTTTTATTTACATCGTTTTTTTCCTGTTTCGCGCGACACTAGCTACGAACACGGCGGTGGAGAGGGCGGCCACCTACAGCACCAAAAAGGACCCTTATTGTCATCTCATAACAGCTATCACTGTAAGAAACAAAGTTACAAGAAACAATTGATGTGAGTGGTGCTACAAAGCTTCAAATGTAAGAAGGTACAGCTATACCGGCAGTCCACGTAAACACCAAAGAGCAGGTAGCCTTTCTCAAATTTCGCCAACAGTGCGGGCACCCCGTGTTGTGCTCCTTTTTCAAAGAAGCTCTAGGCTCACTCAATAGGCGTGCAGTGTCTAAACGTTGGCGCGACAGCTTGTTTTCTGTAGGGGTGCACTTGATCGGCTCAATGACCTCACTCAACCACGCCGATTTCCTCGTTCCCAAAGAAGTCAAATTTACAGCACCAGCCTCCTCTTATTGATGCGTGGTAGACGGATTCACACTGAAAGCAGTTTGAAGACTGAAAGCAAACAAATTAAGTTTGGCGTCTACTCCACTCACGATGGCCGTAAAAGGGCATCTCAAGTACTGAGCAGTGTATATAGTCCGTGTACTTGAACGTTGCTTCTTCGGAATCAGGTGCCTTCTAGAAAAAAAGTGAAATGAACTCTAAGGAATGCAAAAATGATATATAGTAATTAAGCTAAGTTGGTAGCCATATTTATAACGATGAGATATTTATGTAAAATTGCTCTTCTATTCAGTACTGTTTCAGTCGCTCATTATTGTTCACTTCTTCTAATAATTCGTTGTTTTTTTGTACTGCGTAGCTTCACAAAACGCGAAACCACAATTTGTTTTCTGCAGCGTCTACCATAAACCTAAACAAAGTGTAGGCAAAAGCAAGGTGTGTGGAAAGCCGGTCTCTGAAGGTGTCAATACACGAGATGAAGATTTCAAGTTTCACGGTAAACGAAGTACACTCTTAGTCAAATCCTGGCTAGAATACAAGCCAGCAGGCAAGAAATTAAGTCAATTTATTTCCACTTTTACGCGCCTTTATAGCCGTGCCCCAGAAAAACCGGCCCAACTTGAAGTGGCCTTAAACATCGCCGGGACAAGATGAGCCGGGATTTTAGATCAAATTTTTTTTTCGCAAAATACCGCCTGCGGTTAAACGTGACATTCTGTAGGCGTCCCGACCCTGATGCGGTGGCGGAAAGGAAGCAGTATTTCACGCTTATGAGAGCGGTTTCTCGCAGAGAATGTGGCGGATATAACAACTACAGATTAGATAGCCATTATTATCACAAATACTTATATTTGCGAGATCAACATGCAAAGCACAGCCCCAGAATTCAACTCGGGACCATATGCGCGTGAAGCAGATGTCTTGATCATAGCACCACAGCACCACCGAATGAAGGCGAGTCGTCTTGTGGGGGTACAAATATACCAAGTGGATTTTTGCAAACTGTCTTCGCAGCCTTGAAGTGTTTTGTGCCATGTGCATGCATTTGATCAGCAAATAGTTTGTAGGGCTTCATGTACTCGAGGCAACAACGCCGAGCATTTTCGCTCCGACTTCGGTTCATGGTGCGCCGTTCCACAAGAACGAATAACGTGTGTTTGTGCATCGTTTTAGTGCTTCCCCGTGAACTGCGGGTGTTACGCTCACCAAAATTCGCGGACGAGACTGTGTTCAGCTCTCGAAACCTGCGTATGTTTCTCGCACGTTCGTGTGCTCTGAGAAATTTCGCTGATTTGTGTCAGGAGGTACTTAGTGTCCGTGACAGCAGCCTTTTCTCAGCTGTTTGAAGACAATTTGCTTTCGCACGTAAACGCTGCATGGGTATTTTTGCGTATCCACTCTAACATTTGCATTTCATACGCGCGAACTGCCGCGAGCTGCACGCTGGAGCAACAGCACCTTTTTAGCATTTTACCAATTACTTATTTCTGAAATTAGAATTTATGCGCATTATTTCGCCTTATAGAGTGGTTCTTACTCATTTTAAGTCTTTAACTGTTAATATTTATTGGGAGTGGCTACTCTTACCTTTATTCAGCATCACACTGCTGTTCAAAAGGAATGCCAAAACGCGCGCCATAGTTAGGTATCACGTACACAAACTAGCAACGGGCAGGTCAGTCTTCCTCCAAATAAATAAAGCCTTTGCACATCTCTTTCGCGAACGTCGGCGTGCAGTTAGGGTCAAGAAATGGGGCCGAACAAACCTTAAGATATTTACTGTTACTGCTCGCAGTTGCTCTTTAGAAAATGGGAATTTTTATAGCTTGTGCATTATCTCCACAGCACTACACTGGTTGTCTTGGTCGTGGTTCACTGTTACAAGTCCATGCTGGAGTATGAGAACTGCACCTAATATTCAAGAGAGTGAGCAAATGTCGTTCACCTACGCTCTCTTGCTGACTTCGACGATTGATTGATATGTGAGGTTCGACGTCCTAAAACCACCATATGTATATGAAAGACTCCGTAGTAGAAGGCTCCGGAAATTTAGACCAGTCTGGGATTCTTTAACGTGCACCCAATCTGAACACACGGGCGTAACACAATTCCACCTGCATCAGGGAAATGCAGCCGCCGCACCCGGGATTTGAACCCGCAACCTGCGGTTCAGCAGCCGAGTACCTTAGCCAATAGACCACCGCAGTAGGGCTGTCCTGCTGACTTCTACACCAAACTTCTGACTTCTGTACTTGATGCTCTTCATCAAATTACGCAACCACTCATCAAATAACGACCAAGCGATTTTCAATTTTCATCTTTTTCTGTCTCGCGGCCTTCGGTTTGGTTTTAGTTGCATTGCTTTCCTAAAATCACCAGTTCAACTTGCTTCGTAGAACATGAGCATCAACATACATAGGCCAGTGTTTCAGTAAGCTGTCGCGCATGCACTAGTACTCTTTTATTTAGTGCATGACACAGTGTCATACCTCGACAACTAAAAGTTGTTTGTCGTCTTTTATTGAACTCCAAAGAGTAACAATGGGGCTGCGCATCTCAGTGTATGCCCTAATGCAGAGAGATATATGATATCCTGAATAAAGCGTGCCATATAGCACTGGAAAATGTTTTTGTCCCAGGCCATCTTGTAGAAAAACGACCATCACAAGACAGTGGGACGAAATGACGATGCCCGAATTCCACAGCATGCAGGCTATGGTGAACGTGATGCCGGCGCTGGGCGCCCAGCTATCGTTGCGATGACAGGAGGAGGGGGCGTTTCTTTCTCGTTTTTTTTTCGCGCTCTCGGTTGTGGCTGAACAGTTCTGCGTAAGTTGATGCTGGCTCCTGGCACCAGGCTGGACACGACGGAGAGGCAGCTCTCCTTTTTTTTTTCCTTCTTGCGCCTGCTCTTACCGTCTGTATGCGTGACTTCCGCGCTGCGCGTATGTCACGGGTATATTTTTATTGCTGTGCTCCCTATAGACAGGATTTTAGTCAGTACGCAGGAGCACGCCACCTATGTTCCGTTCGTTATCCGCACCTGACTGAGAGTGTATCATTCCGCCTTTCCACCTGATGTTAAACAGAATCAAAATGACCAATATGCACAAGGTATAGGCATGATCAACAAATATAGAGTGAAAATTTATTGACAGTCAAGGGAACGAATGTTTAGCAATTTCTCTAGAGAAGCTTTTTTTTCTTAGTGGTAAAGTTCTATCACGTGAAGCGCCCAATTTCAAAGTAATTCCAGCGAGAGATCTTACCAAGCGCTGCACTTTTAAATATCAATGCAACGTGACTTCCCCAGGCCTCATCAAATGCACTGTACAGCTGTAGACAATTCATAAACCTGTTTTCATCTCTCTCAAATTCATGGTCATGAATCACACCGCTTTGCCCCACTGAGATCCCGTTCCTTCGTGGTGACGCCGGTAATTTACGACTTTTTTGCCAAAATAACTGCGAGATTTTCAAAGGCATTTCTTTTTTAAAGGAGGTGAAGACTTCTAGTTGATCTTGGGGTTTGCCATCAGAGAGGGTGCAAAAATTTTTTCGCCACCACCCCCCTCATCTCTGTTGATCAACTTTATGGGGCTTGTTTCACGATGAATGAAAAAAAAAACTGACAAGAATAAAGCAACGTTCAGTTTCTCCCCATTTGGCGTTTGGGCCCTGGCATTTTTGAAGTGAAGATCGGAGGTAAAAAGTTCTTGAAAGGCAGTGTCACGGGCCATCGGCTTTCATTTCCTTCTAAATTCTGTGTGACCATAGCTCTAGTCCTAATCAGTGACGAGACCGGTTCGTATGGGGCTGACTTCGCTTCACCCACTGAATGGCTCAAAAAAGGAAGGCGCCACCAGTGGTCCTCCTCTTGCGCACGTCTACGCTGACGCCTAAAACATTCCGCTCTATTGCTTTTTCCAGCCTAGAGCATCGAGGCGGTATCGGAACTGGCTAATATCATCATCGTTTCTTCATTTCCTCATTTTTCTGCTCTTCCTATTCCTCGACGCTGCTCTTCTTCTCACGTCAATCCAAATTGGCGCATCTAAGCTCCATTATATTCCTGACCCTTCAATACACACATCTTTACTTCAGACAGAGAGCCCTGTATTATTCAGCACAATATAGACAGCGGTTATATCCTGCGGACCAACTTAGCTTTCGATTTACAGTGTTTTTAGTGCCCATCTGACTAGACTTCAGTTCCCCGCTCCTATTGTACTGCACTGAGGGATAAAAAAGGAACGTTGAAACTTCAATCGTGCAGCTCAATTTCAGGCTAAAAGAATAAGTGTTATAGATACGTTGTAATTCTTGCAAAAATAAAGCTCTTGACCAAGCTTGATAAACTAAAAAGAAAAAAAAGAACATTTATTCTTCGGGAAATAAGATAATCTGCTTTATGGTAGCTCAAAGCGAGACTGAAAAAGCACGCATGCTGTTATGAAACAGCTTTTCTGTTGCTGACAAAATGGTTCGATTCATAGGGCTCTTGTTCAGCTTGTTTCGTTAGACATCCGCACGAAGTGTTATAAAGGCTTGATGCTCCAAACGTCTACAATAAATTTTCTTGTCTGAAACAATCTTGTGACGAGTTATTGTTAATCACAGCGTATTGATGGGAGTGCTAGTGTAATGCCTGTTTGAAATTACACTCTACGAAAGGGCAGTAATATGGAACGCAGCAAAATTTTTGATGCTGAGGAGACCATGGAGGTTTCCCTCATAGCTTTCTGCTATAATAAATGTGGATATTATTACTAATAGTGCTCACCTAGTATCACCATATATCACTAATATTGCTCATCGTTGGGAGATCTTCTAGTGCACGTTGATGCGCCATGTTTATTTATTTAGCATTTTCACTTGCAAGACAACAGTGGCGAAAGCTCGTCTTTATTGTAGACTTCCGAATGAGTGACCTTATCCACGCCTTTAAGCGATAAAGAAATATTTCTTCGCCAGCGTGGTAGAAATGAGGTATGAAACGATCTCTGACTAGTAATATTTTTTTATGTTCTTGCACGTGCCAATAAGTTCCATGAATTCATCTCACAAAACTCTTCCTTTTTTATTTAACCAGAACTTGTGCTAAACAGGAATGAGGAAACACGTTCATCTGATTTCAATGTTCCTGATTTATTTTTATCTACACACTGAGCTTAGCCCATGGAAATACAACTTTCGCACATTGTCGGTGGTTAACACCACTGAACTGCTCTACAAAGATATAATACGTTAGAACCTGCTGCGTAGAAAATTCGAGAGACTAAACAAGCGCGTTATAATTACGTATACTAACTTCCTTGAGTAATCAGTAACAACTATGGTATATAAAATGATAAGTTGCAGTTCTTCACAGCTCTCTACTGTTTTTTACAGCATTCACAGTCAAAGAAGACTATAACACAACAGTTCTTCATGTGTCCCTACCTGATCCGGCCTTATATGTAAATTTGTCAGGGCTGCTTCCTTCGCTTAAATAAAACGAGATCTTTTTTCTGCAATGAAACAAGCATGCCAAACATTTCGCTCTAATGTGCGAACAAAATATGTGGTATATACAATATAAAGCTGAGTTAAGAAAGCAGGTGTTTCAAGTGGCGCTTATATAATTGTGCTGATAAGCTGCACAGAGACTTTCAGCTGATAACTGGTATACTTTGAGCCACTTTGAGCAGATAACTGGTACACTTGATACTATAAATCGAGAGCGAGAAAATGTTACTGAAACCGCTGTACAAAATGCATTGCTAGGATTAAGAGCATCATAACCAAATTAGTGCTTTTTGTCAAAAAGGCACATGACGAGAGGAAACCTAGTCAATGTAATTTTTATGAATTGAGATTCGCCTTCTGATATATATATATATATATATATATATATATATATATATATATATATATATATATATATATATATATATATATATATATATATATATATATATATATATATATATATATATATATATATATATATATATATATATATATATATATATATATATATTTATATATATAAATATTACAGTTGCTCTACAGGTAAATGATCCTATCATTTTGTGGTTGTTACAAAACATATAAATATTTTACTTTGTCAATCTTGTTTCAAATATACAAAAAAACGATAACTTCTTAGCCTAAAGCGTGATGTACTTTATTGGCTATCAATTTCCATGTATGAACGTATTGTGTCAGGAGCAAACTTGCATGCTACGAATTCTTGCAACCAAGATTATGCTATACATTGACATGATGCCCAAATCAGATATGTTTATTATTCCATGTCGGCTAGAAATTTAGGTAAAAATTATTGTGTCGAACGTATGCCACAAAAATATTTTCGGCAATCTTCTACTCTCAATAACAACTTAAAACTGGAAGTACGATCAGAGTCTCCCATATTCGAGGTACGTTAGAGGTGCACTGCCGTATGGTAAAAAATGTTGTTTGTTGCGATACGTAATCGATCAAGATGCATCTTAAGGTTACAACATGGCTTCGTGGTATTTATGATGGCATATTCTTCGAGCTAGACTTCAAAACTTGCAGGTTCTTCTGGGTTTCGGTGCCAAACAATGTTCGCCAAAATATTCGTCTGCGCTTTCATTCTGAAGCTGTATAGCTGTGGCAGCGTGATATGTCAAAATATTATTGGATTTAGTAGACACTGATTTTAAGATATATTAAGCGAGCTGAGGACGCTTGACGTTTGTACGTTTGTTTACGCACACAGCTTGTTATCAACACGTTGAGTTATTGGGTCGGTTATTCATTTTAATTGATTAATATTTCCTGAGAATATTATAATCTACTTTGGTGGGGCATTGCGGCTCTAATAGAACAAAACGAATAATACGCTTCCGGACTGTTTTTGTGCTACCTTGCTTTACCATCACATCTGTTATTGACCATAGAACACACGCCTGTGGTGTAAATACTCCTTAGTTGTGGTAGCAGAAAACCGCACTCAGTTTTTAACAAGCAGACTGTTGCACAAAGACATCACGAAGTCATATAAAAGGTTCAGTGAGAAATCTATTTTCTCCACGATGGTGATCTAATTACATTAGGAGCGACAAATTTGGAAGCTGTACGGAATAATGCAATTGTTTTGTATCGTATCTATGTAACCCTTGTGTAGTAATAATTTTTACTAAAGCACGGCCAATTCTTGTATCGAGGCAGTTTTCACGCTAATAGTTTTCTAAATGCAGAGCGCTGACAGCACATCAAGTTTGCGAGCCATCATATCATGCAAATTTTTCAAGGTTAACATGCAGAATACCTTAAGTATAGCTTCCTAAAACGCTTTCAAGAAAGTTTTAAAACGAAGAACTCTTTAAAGTCGGGAACATTGATGCCACGCCCTTTCGAGCCAGTGGTTTCTATTTAGGCCGACCGCCTTGTTAGAGAATTTTTAATAAATGAATTCTCCAGATAAAATTCAGTATTTGTATTACTGTTGTAGGTAAGTGACCTTTGCCAACTACGCGTTTCACTTACCTCGGTTTTCCTTGCTCACTCTTTAGCACCCAAATGTATTCTCCTTTCTTTGCTTCTGCATTCAGCCATATTCTCTTCGCTTTGAGGCATTCATACATAGTATCATTATTGCTATCCGACATGGCTATGCCAGTGGGAAATTGGTTGAAAATCTGTATTGGAGCAAAATAGTAAGAAAGCTTCAATGAAAAAACTCTATATGCAACTTACCGGGTCAGACATTATTGAATCTATAGTAGCTGTGTAGTGCGTCACTGCTTCACTGTTGCTAAAAAACAAAATAAAGCAGCACACTTTATTTTATACGTAGCCAGCTCAAGCACTCACTCAATATCTGAGACCCGTTGCTTTAAAGCCTTGTTCAGGCCACATGCATTACGGTGAGTTCGTCGGTGAGAATCGACAGCGTATGCCCCACCACGGTGGTCTAGTGGCTAAGGTAGTCGGCTGCTGACGCGCAGGTCGCGGGATCAAATCCCGGCTGTGGCAACTGCCTTTCCGACAGAGGCGGAAATGTTGTAGACCTGTGTGCTCAGATCCGGGCGCACTTTAAAGAACCCCAAGTGGTCGAAATTTCAAGAGCCCTCGACTACGGCGTCTCTCATTATCACATGGTGGTATTAGGACGTTAAACCCCACATATCAATCAATCAATTGGCAGCGTAAATGCAAGAAACGTAATGGTGTTCATACATTGTTGTATTTAGCGTAAAGCATCAATAGGACACGTAATTCAGACATTGTCGTATTTAGCGTAAAGCATCAAAGGGACACGTAATTCAGGCATGTTTTATTTAGGGTAAACCATAAATAGGACAGGCTTGAGGCGTATGCAGCCAATGTGCACAGGCGATGGGCGAAGCAGTTGCGGTTTTGACTCAGGCTTATAGCACTTCCGACCACCCCAGATTCCCTCTCTTCATTCAAGTCTTCAAAAACAATCAGTGGCATGTTGGTGCCGTTGATTTCGCGGTGTTTATTCTTTTGTGTGCCAGGGTCTTGCAACCATGAATGATGCGGTAGCGTCGGCATTACACAGCGATGGCATAATCGGAGAACTACGACAAAAGCCCAGACTGTGCGGCCAGTGTCTAAAAACGTACCGCAAGAAGCAGTCCCACAACAACGGATGGCTGTAAGTCAGAATTCAGCAGCTGGAGATCAATGACAATGCACAAAGTCAAAGCTCTTTAAGGGAGTATTTGCTGGAGCATACGGCCTCTGCCAGTTGCAAAACACGTGGACACGAAGAAGGTGAATACATTTGCAGCCCATTCATCTGTTGTCACTCAATTTATTATTGTTTTCCTGTTTTTATGGCGATGTGCCAAGTTCCTTCAATAAGGCAGAACAGCCAGCCGAGGCAAGGCCACACACGCAAAACGCTGCGTCTCACCCAGGCTGAGACACTGGGGCTTAACCTGGGTGAGAATGGGGGCAAGGCTTAAAGACAGGCATGGGCCTAGACAACCACTTGACCTGGCGTCTTTAAACGCCGTCAAAGAGCCCGTGAAATTCGCGGCTTCTTCCGAACGCTCATGGGTACTCGTTCTTCGCAGAACACCTGCGGTCAGCAGTACCATAAGCAGAACTGCTTATGGCACTGCTCCTGTGAATGCGTGTGGTTAGGTCACTGTTGCCTATCAGCCCAGGTGAGTTCAGGAATAAGCGATAAGGTGCGTGGAAGGTCCAGATTTTTTCCAAAACTATGTTCATTTATTGAAAAAAAGGAGAATGTGCCTGCGTTCTGCAAGCCACCTTTCAGAGCGGCATTGCAAGTGAGTGCCTTAAAAGTACTTTTTGTTGAGATGTCTATCAGTGCACCTCCGAGCAGGGTTTTGACGAGAAAGCAGTGGGAATCCCCCTCTCCCAGTCCTCACTGAAGTGTTTTGGGGAGGGCTGAACCGAAAGGCGAAGTCAAATTTCCTGGGCCATGGGTGATCATCAACATTCGCAGTCTGATCGGTCTAAGTTGGCAGTGATGGCATCGCTATTTTGACAAGTACATTGCAGATGTCAAGCTCTCTAAAATAAACCGCACTGCGGAAAAGAGCATCTATATTTAATGGCGACAATGAAAATTGAGTTACGGGGCCAGCACGTTTCAAATCGTAATGCTCGATTAACAAAAGCTTCTCCACACGACAGCTTCGACGTCAATAAATCACCCAGAAAGGCAGATTACTACATAAAGCTGGTGGAGGCACTTAAGAACAGGTTCTTCCCACCGAGCACCCAGAGCAGCCAAGTCAACATTGAGACTGACCCTGTAGATGGAGGAACTATTTGAAATCTCTGCGGTGAACCACCGCAATGTCATTGAAGAGGAGTATGGAATCTTAACCCATATATGCCCAAACTTAGGGAAATTACCAAAACAAATTTATTTACCCAAAATGATTGCTTTTACGACCTCAGAATACAGAGTAAGACTTTTATTTAAACAAACTCTTTCAAATACAGATTTTGGAACCGTAGTGTTTGTTGGAAACTTTTGTTTGACACACAGTGAACAGAAACATTAGCGTCTATCTCTGTCACTCGAAAGTTCTGCCCACCCAATAACTAACAAACAATCGTCAAAAATATCAGAAGCATTGAGAACAATTTGACTTGATACTACTTATATTTTTTTCGCGGTATGGCACTCAGGTACGTGCACGTAAATTGGCCATTTTGTCCCTGCAAGCACGTCCTCATTTAGAGGCCAGGGATCACCTAGACTTGCATGTGACGACGAGAGGGCATCACAAACACACATTAGGTGGCGCTATTGTTTTTACAGAAAAAAAACATTCGAGTACACTGAAAAGATTCAGCGTCATACACTAGGACACTGGGCACATATGGGTTAAGGTGAAATAATCCCCAAGAGTGTCCCAGGCCTAGGAACTGCGATAAGTAGTAAAATGTTCTTAGGAGTTTGAGAAATCATCCTAGTGCGCAATGCCTACCAAGATAACCTACAAAGAGAACATAGAAGGCTTTTAAATATCAATAACAGTACTTTCTTTCGGGGAAGTCCCTTTTGGTTCATCGATCGCCGAAAGTTAGGCAGTTCACCCCACTTTGGCCGCTGTTATTCAACCTAGCTATAGATGAGTTTTCTGCAGAATTATGTTATTACCTAAGTTTCAGATGCAAGCGGCGAAATGTTTTGTTTATGGTCATTGCCGAAAAAATCTTAGGAATGGCAAGTGCTCGAAAGTTCACTCTGACGCATGATTTGGCATTCATGTGAACACATTAGCAGTCATCGATTGTACCTCAACGCGGAAAAATTAGGAATTTGCTTTGTAGCAAAGGGACTAGAAAAAAACCTCGTGAGAAACAGCTAAGAACGCTGCTAAGGAAGGTATTCAAACTACTGCCTAAACCTCAGCGCCGCTATGTTCTCCTTCGCTTCTACTTGCCTCGACTCTACGTCAGTTGATCATAGGACCTATTTCAACGAAGAATCTCTTGAGCATGGATTGAGTAATTCAATCAGCCTTGAGGAATGGCTTGCTCTTCCTTTAGATATGACGCTTGGTTTGTTTTAAGGAGCGGTTGAGAATGGGGTCAAGGGAGTCCATGCAGCAGGGCCACTATTCTAGCCATGCATCAGTAGTGCTACGACACCGTGACCCACTGTAACATTGTAGCATTTGCATTTATATGAAAACGGCCAACAATATTACATTTCAAAACGCAGGCATAACACTTGACCTTCTCTAAGGTATCTCATATCAGCTCCAGTAAACAATCACGGAAGCATTGGGCTTATGAGCTGCATTGCTGTTTTGATGTAGACCCCTGCAGCAATGTAAAGAAACACCTAGGTCAGCTTCATGGCTTACCGATGGTACTGCCCTCCCTTGCGGGAAAGGACTCATTCACCTTGCAGAATTCCACATTCATTCGGTTCCTAGGCTAGACTCGATTGCAGAGAAGTAGGTATATTCCGAAAATTCTACAGCGGGATGTCAATATGATGAGTCACTGGGGCATATCTTCCAAGAAATTATCACAGGACCCATGACAGCTAAATTAAAAGATATTATAGCACAATGAGACACCTATCGCGTTAATTATCGCAGTTTGACTAAGAGGTAAAACAGGTGCGTACCTCTCAGTCAAATAGTGCTTCCCACAACAGTCTCTCTCAGGGGAGGACACCTCAACTGTAGTGCACGGTGGTAGGAATGTGAGAAAAAAAAGATATGTGAAGAGAGGGGAGGGGTGGAAGTAAAAGAAAGAGGGACTCAAGGTTCCAGTGCCGATTCGAGTCGAGTTTCGCTGCACTTAAGCAGTGCGGCGATGTAGACTGGTAGCGCAGCGGAAGCAGCACTCATCGCACTTGCAGGTCGCCGTGGCATGGTGGAAGCCACTGCAAAGGGCACACTCAAGAGGCCCTGGCTGTCGAGTGTGGAGAAGCCTCGAGTTTTAAAATGAAGACCTCCGATGGTACAGTGGTGACCTGAATTATAAGCGTGAGGCACGTGCTTCAATAGACACATGATATTACTGGGATGGCCGACACAAGGTTGGGCGTGATTCGTCAGTGTCTAGGTGGCATCGACGCCGTAGGCGGTGTCCGAGCAGATGTGTTCTACGAGAAGTTTGCATCTCACGTGGATATCACAGAGCCAGCCCACCTGAAGGAGTGGTGTGGGATCCGTGAGGAGTCGACATTCGGCCCCTCGCGGACACTACGTCGACTCCTCGCGAGGGGAGACGTTGCATCGCGAGGTGAAGACGTTGCGTCGAAAGGTGACGCGAACGTGCCGAATGTCACGTGAACGTGCCGGGAATCTGTACAGAAAAGCTGCGATAGAGTGTATCTCTGTTCTGTGTACAGTCATGCTGTTTAGCAGAGCGCAGCACCACTGACGCCTCTTCGCAGCGTAAACGTTACATATAGCGTTTATTAGCTTCATTGGTATACAGATGGTAGTAATCTACGCTGAGCGAAAGGCGAAAAGGACGCAGGGAAAACAAAAAATACAGCATATCTACGAAGTGAATGAAGATGAAGAAGCTTGTTCCTTCTGCCCGTCGTCTGTCCGTTCATCCATCTGTTCGTGTCTGTCTGTCTGCCGGTCTGTCCATTTGTGCGTCCGTGTGTTTGTCCCTCCATTCGCCGGTCCGTCTGACTGCCTGTCCAACTAAGCGGCGGTGCGCCAGCTAGGAAAGTGGCATTCAAGCCAACTTAGAGCACAGCTGCTCCTCTAGCCGGAGCAGCGAGAACTAGCATGGATACGACGATGGAATAGATGTACAAAGATGAAGCATAAAAAGAAAGTTGATAAAAAGCATTTAGTTGAGTGCACCTACAATACACTGTCATACTAACTGGCTGAAATTAAAGCTTTGCCAGCACATTATATGGCAGCATCAGCACACGACCCCTCCAGTATAGAGCAAAGAACAATTTGCAGCTTGACGCACTTAGCCTAAGCGAAACTTGGCAACTTTTAGAATTGAAGAAATTGGGGGATAAGCATAATAGTTCACTAATAACAGTTAAGTTCACCTGTGAGAATGGCCGCCTTAACTTGTGTGCAGCAGTTTGTTGATACTAAACATTTGCCTATAGGCGTGGAGAGAAGCTGTTCTAGCTTAGTTTAAAATCACGATATTGTCGCTTCAGATTTCCACGTCTCCTGAGGGTCTGAAATAAACGCGTTATGCTTCAATAAATTTGTAAACAGTGCGATAATTTGAAAAAAGAAGCTATTTGGGCAACATATGGCGAGTGAACTAGAATTAGGGCATGCTATAGTACCCCACGCATTGCCATCGGTGCGCGTAGAATACCGGAGCGCACTAAAGCTAGAACGCTATTCAATTTACGCTTGATACTCTTCCTATTTAAAATAGGTTTTGTTAATATCAAAAGCGATAGAAGCGATGAAGCAACCTAACACGTCGCTGCGAGAAGCATTCTGATGAATTTTGTATTTGTTTCCTCTGCCTGATAAAAGCATGCTTGTGGCAATAAGTGATGCGACACCCACATGGTTCTACATAAAGTACGGAATTTTCTTTATAGCAACGATTCAGCTTTGGTAGCCATGAAAAAAAATTACCTTCCCCGTGTTCAACATATTACAAATAAAAGCGACCAATTACTACAATTATATTGCAATTATTGCAGCCAGCCACATCAATTGTAAAATAGTGGCATATCATACATTGGTAAAGTGAGCCACTTTGTCAGAGTAAAAAATTGATTTTCTACTTTTCTAATCATTTAAAAAAGTAGCGGATAAAAAGAACCTCATTGAGATTGCCAACACTAGAAAATATGTACAAACTTGAAATCATTTGGCGCAGTACACACTAACACAAAAAACAAGTAATAAAATACATTGCAGGCAAGAAAATGAATTCTGCCTATGAGAACAAATAGCAAAAAAGCAGCAATAAATGAAGCAAAAACAAAAATTGCACATTTAATTTAAAAGTACTTGGACTCTCCTAAATAGTTTTGAGGTAATTACATATTAAAAGAGAGAAAAAAATAAATGACAGAAAAAAACAAGACAGTGACATATGCTTTCAGCAATGTATGATGACTACGCGAAGCATCGTTAACAGACTGGGAGAAGGCATGAGGAAATACAATGGAAGTAATAGGTATGAACAAAGCCTCCTAGAAAAAACTATGCCTGGAACGTAGCTCTCTCTTCAATTGAAAGCTTGCTACCAGCACGAAATCTTGGAGGCCATGCCTCCTACCGCGTTTTGGGACGTTCCGCCGCGTGGGACCGTTCGCCTCCATACCACTCTGTCACGTGACATCACAGCTGCTCGGAGGCAACTGTGAGAGCGTTGCTGTGTTCAAAGGGGGCGAGCGCCAGAGGCGTTCGCCTCCGTATCGGAGGGCGAGGGTAACATTCAAGGGTAGGTCAGCGCATTCGCAACTCATGTTCCAGGCATAATTTTTCTAGGAGGCGATGGTATGAGCTAAGGTCATCGGTATGAGTGTGGACGCTAAAGGTCAGCTTCTGGGCGGTTTACCGCTATGAGATGAAATTACTAATAATTGAATAATTCGACAGCCTGCCCTAAATAAAAGGTGCGTTTGTGAGAATGATTGGGCACTACTGCAAAAGGTTCGGTATCACTAGAAAAGTTCCGGACCACTTTGAAGAATTTTATAGTATTGCCTGGATTTGTCCACTTCTTCAGTGATGAGTCTTACGCTAACCTCTGATTGGGATGAAAGAGTGCCTACAATGTTTGTACTGACAAGGGGGAATTTTTCCGCTCAATAGCGAACAATTTGACGATTCCGGCGGCAAGTGGTAACTAGCGGTGCGGGAACAGAGTGCGCAAAGCGCAGCAGTGGAGTTCATCAGCTTAAAGTTCTGCCTATAGGTAAATAACATACTGTGGTTTATTTCGGTTTTTTTTTCATGATAATAGGCTTCAATGAGGTGCCTTAAAACTAAAATTTCGCTCTGTCTGTGGGTCTGTCTCTATGATTTCTGTCACACAATTTTCCCAGCCAGCGATAATTCATACACTTTCTCCAGGCCTAACCATCTTGATCTGGTGACTGCGTTTATACTTGTGAACGCTGTCGATCGAAAATCAAGTATAAAGTCTACATGAGTCACTATATAAATACATCAGCATTACGTGGTGGTGTTCTTTACTGCAAAATGCATATAAACAAAACTCTAGAGACTCTTTTGTTTCTTACAATATGCTGAAAATGCAACAATTTGGACGAAAAAGCGGGTGTTTCTTGCGATATGCCGAAAATGCCACCTACGCAAAAAACTTGTTCTGCCAACCACATGATGCTGCCACCTGCCAGTGGACCTGCCCTCTGTACAAGCTCCTATCTTGAGCATTACTGCCTGATGGTATGCGTATCTCATTTAGTGGCTCCAGAGAGTATATGGGCTATTGTCTTTCGAAGACATTTGCGGCGAAGCACGCATATACACGGCCGATTCTTTACATTTACAACTTGCTGGCGCTCTTTTCAGTATTACACACATATGAATTAAGCACAGTGATAAATATGAACGAAAGCCTATAGATGACTAGCACAAGAAATGTGAGGCCATATCAGATGGCTCTCGTATGCCTAGTTTGACTAAGTAGCGCAGGCCACATCTTCGTAACAGGGATACGCCATTACTACTGTTATTTATCACGTTGCCATATAGAATCATATGTTCTGGTTTAGAGCACTAGGCATGGCTTTTTAATTGTCACTGCATCTAGGAGAAATTCACTGTAGCTGACGAGATTACATGACCGCGGCTTACTACAAAAGGTGATTTTGGTGGCTTGAAGATGCCGTTTATGTACACCTCGTAATAATGCCCTCATAAATTGCAGCGCATTCATGATGTGTATTAAGATTCACAAAATTTAAACAGAAAAACTCACAGAAAGTAATCGATTTTATTTACTATCTAAATTACTTTTCTGATATTTGAGCGCCTCCTTTCGCTAAAACATGCTCTTTAGCGAAAATAAAGTGCCTTATTTTTTGTTATACGTTGAAGCACTGATTATGAAAATGCAAACACAAAACTGTAAATTTTTTGTTGCGCTGAAGCTCACACACTCTAAAAACAAAGAAATAGGGCTAAACGTGGTTGATTCTTTGAAGAAAGTAGGAAAAAAACAGAAGAAACAGCAATAATTTTTGAAATCAAAGCAACTTTCTTGGCGAACATGGCCAAATGGCTGTTAGTATAGGAACAACAAAGTTGACATCTGAAGTCCTATTTACAACATAAATTCGCTGCTAAGACCCAAGTAACGAACAGCTGCAACACAAAGCCATAATGTAGGTTTACTTTGTGCCACCCCTACCTTGTTGCGCTTACCAGAAACCGCAAACTAAGGGCATAATTCATGAAGTTTTGTTTTCCCGTTCGCTTTTTACTGTTGCTCCCGTTTCTCTAATGAAACGTTCAACGTCTGCACCAGCATATCACTTTTGCGGCAACGCCATCAACACACGACATTTTGTGAATGGAAGCCTAAAATGGCTTGTTGGAAAAGAGAGCTCAAAATTATGAAAGGCAATACATAACTACTAAAATAACTCGTGGTGGTTATGAAGAATTCCTTGTTTTGACAGAAAGCTCACCACCAGTAACCAATTCTTTGCATAATTACATACCCTGAAGGCGTCTGGCACATTGTTTTGCTCTTGGAAAGCCAGTCCTGGTTCCTGAAAGGACAGGACAATAAAGATTGCACAGCCCCAGGGCAGCATTTCTTTCACCAGATCACCAGTTTGCTTCTCTCTATGTTGCCCAGGCAGAATTTATATCCAGCTGTTGTGGGTTGTCGATGTTTAATGCTAAACGTCAGGTACCCTACCCCCCCTCCATTCACTCTGCTGACGTCAGGAGGTAGAAAGTCACTTCTGCATGAGAAAAATTATCCTCTGTCCTAATTGAATTCCACCAGTTCATTATCCTTGGACAGCCATATTATAACTTGCTGTCATGCGTCTTGATATAAATATGTATGTTTGCAGCGTGGCATTAAGCTGATATAGGTGTCAGAGAGTTTGAAGAACTGCCATATTCGTTCGGCTGCTGAACCTTTGACATTCATGTTACGATTTCATATAGGATCACTGCCAGTTGGGCATGCTGATTTAGGTTCATGATGAAACAAACGCTTATGAACACGAAAACTCTGAAAGGACACAGGACGAGCGCTTGTCTTAATTTCTTTTTGAGTCCTCGTACCTATTGGTGCTTGTTTAAATATGCAAGATGCTATAGTTTCACGGATAATACGCATGAATGTTATTCTCTTGGAAATTCACCGTTAAAGTAGGATCGCTGCAAGTTTGTTTGCTTTCTGAGGCCTAAACACTAATTCAGAATGTATGGGAAGAATGAATTTACATTTGAGCAATTCTAGAAGCGTAACATGAGCCGCATTTGTTTATTTATTCATTCATTTTTTATTTATTTCTACTGCAGCGCTAATCGCGCTAAAATATAATGGATATATAAGAATATTCAGAAGAATATCTTGAAAAACTGAGAATAACACAAACATAAGAAACTACACTTTCTTCTATCAGAAATAACGGGAAAGGTCAAACGGAGCACGTCAAACTAACAAATGGGCTCTTGAGGCTGCTGACCCAAGGTCAAATATTTGGTAAACCTGTTTTCATAATCTTCCGCATTCGTAATTGTGGCTGACATTTATAGAGTTTAGCACAAAACGTGTATGTCATATTCCTGTTACTGTAGGGGTGTTTTTTCCATACAGAGCTGCATGGTCTCTTTGAAAACTCTGTACGTGTTATTTGTGTCATGTAGGATATTCTTAACTAATACGTGTTTAAGGTGCTGCCCCTGCGTAGTCCGCATCATCTCATCATTCTATAGCCCACATTTCCTTTCCTGCCGGCTATTCTATGGTACCTTAAGAAAGAAATGTCTATGTACAAGTTGAACTTATCGCTTTGAAATACTTCAGAATGCCCACGGCAATTTGTGGTGGGAAGTTATCCGAATGAATAATTGTTGCTTTTGCCAAATTCGCGATGTCCCAAGCATGCGTTCGTAAACCAAGACGCGCACCTATGTGAACTCCGCAGTTCTTTGATGATGATGACGATGAGTAAATATGCCTCAAGCTTTAGAACAAGTAGGCCTTCAAAATGCCAGCTCATTCCTCGATTCCCTCATATTCACTGCAGGAGCGATTCTATCAGAGAACACATTATTACACATAGTAAGGAGGCACTTTGACGTACAGGACACTCGCTGACTAGACCTGCTGCACTAGCTCAAGGCTAAACTTAGATGGGAGACACCAAAAAGCGAAGTTTGCGCTGCCAGTCGAGTTTCAAAGTTTGAACCAACTACTCTGCAATACATACATATATATAAATATATATATATATATATATATATATATATATATATATATATATATATATATATATATATATATATATATATATATATATATATTGTGGGAGTAATAATTCAATGGGGCAGTTCGTCTTCGTGAAGGTATGGAATATGGCACAACGGGAGCGTTGTCAACAAGGATAAATATATTTATTTCCCAACAGTTTCGGGAGGGGTCCTTCCTTCATCAGGGGATGAGCTCATCTCCCGATGAAGGAAGGACCCCTCCCGAAACTGTTGGGAAAAAATATATTTATCCTTGTTGACAACGCTCCCGTTGTGCCATATATATATATATATATATATATATATATATATATACCCTATTGAATAAACGTCCACCATTTTGGTGGATTATGGCAGTGGAAATGTTGGTGGCACATGGTGTATGGTGGCTATGGCGGAGCGGATGGTGGATGGCTCGCTCCAGCTTGCAATGCTCAGCAGCGTCAGAACCACCGTGACAAGCTGCCACAAAAATATTAAAAATAATTGTATAAAAACGATGTAGAAAGCACCCGCAAAAAAAAAAAGTGCGACAGTGTGGAGTCGAAACCGCCAGCTCCGAATTCTGAACTGAGTAAACTAACCGTTTCGCCATGCCGACAGTTGGCGGCATGGGTGTAAAAGCGGTAGTTTGCTCAGGAAGTCACTGTTTAACTTCAGTTCTGTTTGTTGTTGACTCGGGAGGGACGGGATCTGCGTCTGCTGAATTTGGCACATTTGATAAACACGAACAACTGCTGCCTGTAACGATTGCCACAGCGATAATGGCAACAGCGCTATACTTTTGTTACAATTTACAACCGCAATGAAATAAAAACAACTCAGTGACCCGCAGGGCGCGGGTTCGAATCCCGGCTGTGGCGGCTGCATTTCCGATGGAGGTGGAAATGTTGTAGGCCCGTGTGCTCAGATTTGGGTGCACGTTAAAGAACCCCAGGTGGTCAAAATTTCCGGAGCCCTCCACTACGGCGTCTCTCATAATCATATCGTGGTTTTGGGACGTTAAACCCCACAAATCAATCAAATCAATCAAAAACAACTCAGTGGACTCAGGAGCAGGTAGAGTTTATCGCTGGTCACTGCCAAGTTTATTATTCGTTTCTCGCTGCTTCCAAAGAGCGATATCAGTTCAGGCTTTATGACGTTTCTATGCTCATTCGATAGATACGCCCACACAATTGATTCTGATGTTTTTCGCGCAACTAAAGAGCGCAGCTGTCCCAGCGCACTGCTGTTGCTCTGTCGTTAGAAATGACTACATAACAGCTTGGACAAAACGAATGCAGTGCGCCAGAAACATTATTCTGTCATATTAGTTCAGTAAGCATACAAATTGACGTGTCTATGTTCTCGCATAAGAGCCAGTAAAGTGCCGGCGAGTGCGAACGGTGGCTCGTCGGTGAGGGGAGGCGTACCTTTGTTCGAAGTGCTGCAAGCGCGTCGCATCGATGTTTGTCGCTTCTTGCGAGGACACCGTCCACGAATAGAAAGGCTTCATTTATGTTAAGTGATGCCGCAGCTGTGCTGTATTGTCATTTTTACTCGTCAAAATTGGGTATTCTGAAACTCAGAAGCACCGAAAACACTTTACGGGCTCGGTCAGTATGACTAACCTTTGGTGGAAATCATGATGGTAGAACACACGGGTAAGAATCAAATTCGCTTGGGCTCATCTCGAAGAATGTTGAAAGTGAAAGTTTATGCATATTCGCACGAACTTTGTTAACTTGAAGGTACTGCCCAAACAATAGAGTGTGCAAGAATTACCAGAGTTGCGTTTGCGAACTGGAGGCCATTTATTGGTCGACAGCTGCACGCCGATGTAAAAACTTCACTGAGAAGTTCACAGTGGCAATTCTGGTCTTCTAAACATCACAACAAAGAAACAAATCGCGGATGTCGAACTGATGTAAGTACGTGCGTGAAATGTAAACATATTCCCGGCCGCAAATTCTATGCTCCACGGAAATTGAAGCGCTCTTGACACAACAGGAATAAAAAAACGAACTAGAAAGCATAATGAGCAACGTTGGTTTCTTTTGACCGTAAACTCTGCGCCTTCAAGAATGGAACTACAAATAAGTGATTTCGCATACTGTTCTGTGCTTTTCATCGTGCCACCATCATCCACCAAGCTTACACTATGCCACCTTCATCCACCTTGCTCACCAAGCCTTCCACCGAACACGTCTTGCCTCGCCACCATGAGCCAGCATTTTCCACACCATCACCACTAATATTTCCATCATATCCACCAACAATTCCAGCATCCACCAACCCTGTATTTTCGGTAGGGTATATATATATATATATATATATATATATATGTACATATATATATATGACGCTACCAGAAATGAGAGACGTGGCCTGGCTCATACGCCATGTTTATTCCTATTCTCACTTCTTCATCCTCTCTACCATCAGTTACAACTTTCCTTTGTCACAGGATTTCCCCTTCTCCCGGAAGAAGTCGCGTCAGACAATCAGCGAAACAACAAGACGTAGAGTGTTAGAAAACTGTCAGAATGCGCCGTAGTTCCATTTCAGAAAGAAGTTCCATAACTCGCACAAAAAATCCACAGCCAAGGAAAGCACTCCAGCCTTATATAAGGGAAGTCTGGTGGACGAGGCTGCCTGTTGCGTCCTCGACAGCATAACCACACCCTGTAGATCTGCACTGGTGATGACATGGGTTGAGTTGTTTTGAAAGAATGGACAATTTTGGGAGTCCCTGTAGTATTTCAAGTTACTACCATTCCTGAGTGACACTGAAAAATTCAGTAAAAAGCACTGACGGATATAAGTTTCTATAAAGGACCTATTCATGACTTTTACCTTGCTACCCACTGAAGTGGCGCTCCTCGGTGCGCCCAAGCTTTTCAGCTTGTAAGTGGTGCAAGTGCTGGACTAGCGTTGCTAGCGTCTAAGTTTCAGTTACAGTCAGCTTTTCATGCGCGTACGTTTGGTCTAGTCTTGAAAATTATGGTTTTATACGTGCCCACGTGTTACATTTTCGTCCAGTAAGTTCTGTAAAGTAATTTCGGACATCAAGGACCATCGCCAGGATCACAACTTTTCCTTCATGTGTGGTGTGCAAGGTTGCGCAAGAACTTACGGCGAGTATGAGTCCTATCAACGGCACATGTACCAAGCGCACAGAAATGCCATGGATCTAGACCCCTGTGATAACTCCAATGACGATGAAAACTGTGGTACTTCGTCACTACATCAACAGAATTACTGCCAAATCAGCAGGTCAAATCAGCAAATGCAATAACTGATGACGTTCCGCAATTGACCTGCAGATGTTTCTGGAGTTCTTGTTTTGTGAAGCAAGTGACTTGAAATATTATTGTTTTGCCTCAAAGCGCATGCACCAATA